ATCATTGATAAAGCTTTCATAATTAATTATCTTAAAATATTAATTTGAATAAGTAAAAAGAATTATTATAATATTTATCTGTGACCATGAAGCAAAGCTTTAGTGCTACTGATCGACCGCATTTGAAAAAAAAAATAAAAAAACGATTGCTTTTAACGACATATTGTTATACGTACGTAATAAAAAGTACAACGCTCAAAGCTACATAAATATAATATGGCTCACGGCAACTAGAATGTATTCTAAAAAAGATATGAAAAAAAGTAAAGTTAAGGCTGAAAAGAAGAGTTATTCCATCTATTACTTTACTAATATAACCTTTCAAAAAAAAAAAGAGAACTTTATCTATAAGTAGGTCCTGCGTCCACGAAATTTAGAGAGTTGATAATAGAAGCATATTTAGTTAAAAAGAAAAAAAAAACTTTCATTAAGGCTAATTAATGTTATAAACTTGCAAATTTTTTAACTGAACGGAATAATTTAGAATAGCTTAGAATTAAATTTGATTTTGTCATTTCGGCATTTTTTTCACTCTTTCGTTAAATATTTTGAGTACGTCTATTTGGTAATTCTTATATAATAAATTGAACAATTAAATGAAGAGAATCATTCATCTATTATTAATGAATTATTAATTATTTACATCGAAAACAAAAAGCTCAACTGGAATAACTTACTTTATTTCAGCACTGAAAGTGTAAAAATAACTTTATCGGCTTGCAATGAAAAGACAATACCCACGAAGTATTGTAGAACTCACGTAATTCGGCTTTACTCACGGATAAAAACCACATGAAATATGAAATTCACGTAATCTCATGTTGCTGATGCTCACGAAACATTGCAAAGCTAACGGAGTATGCCAATGCTTACAGATGCATGTATGCAAAATTTTATATGCATGTTCGTGTGCAACAAATTATTTAATTTTTGCTATTATTGTGAATTTTGGCTTATAATCTTGAGACATAATTTATAGCAATTGTAATTAGCGTTAATGTAAGCATGCATATTTCATTTACGTTAAAAGGAAATGTTAAATTGTTCACATCCATGTTAAGATGGATATGAAATTATGAAATTTGGGAAATACTAATTGGAATTCCGTAAGAAAAAAAAAAATTTTTTTTGGTTAGTCACTTATGTTTCATTTGTATTAAATGATAAGAAATTTGATAAGATATTTTAAAAGAAAAAGCGAAGATTATTGAAATGACAAATTTTGAATTTCAAGTTTACCTAAAAAAAAAAAAAAAAAAAAATAAAAGAAAATGTTCAGTTATATACTTAATCTAAACATCAGCTATGTTACTCAAATACTATTTGTAGAAGTTTAAATTCCGTGTACATCATGGCATACGTGATTTAAATGCTGTTTATTAATTTTTGTTCTTGATTTAGCTCTGATAACTATGACGCAATTTGACCGATAAAGATTAGCCACTGATTCCAAATTTAGAGTTAAGTTTTTTAAAGATTGCTACGGCATCGCTCCATAACTAAATTTTTTGGAATTCTATACAAGAATTTTTTTTTTCTTTATTCCTGAATTACACGCTTGGTGTGTTGTTCTGTTCCGGCACACCGCTTCCATTATAATAAAAATCTAATCAAAAAAGCAATTGGAATTTAAGCAAAATATTCAGCGCAATAGTCTAATCATATCGAACCATTTGTCGTCATAGCTACACCTATCAGCGAATTAAAGTGTCAGATGTGATATTTAGAAATTGGTTGCTAATGCAGAAATAAATTTTGGAAACCCTGCCAATTTATTATAATGATTTTTATTATAGCTCATTGTAAATAAAACCCTGCCAATTAATTTGAAAATGATCTAGAATTTAACAATTTAATGAATTACCTTGGCATTTAATTTAATGCGATATAATGGATCGAAGTTCCTTCAATTAGCATCATTTCAAAGTTTCATCAATGTTCTAGTATTTTATATTAGCACTAATTACATTGCATCATTGAATGGAATTTTTTAAAATAAATTTATATACTAAAAAAATACCAAATTTGAGTTCATAATTGGATTGCATAAATATGATAAAAGATTCAATTTCATCAAAATTTATGTAATAAATAATGATGCATATATATATATGTAATGTGATAAGTAAATTGTAATAAACAAACATAATAACAGAAAATTTTAAAATGACATTCAATGGGTAAATTCAACTTCTTCGCCATTTTATTTTTAATTAATAAATATTAATAGAATAAAGTATTAACAATTTTTTAAAGTATTTCAAATTTATAAATTTAACCTTTCCTTCTTTCTGAAATGAAACTAAAAAAATCTTAATTTATTCTTATATTAAGCGAGAAATTTTATTTGTCAAAAAATTTTGCTCCACATTACCTTGTTCTATTGAGATTTTCACTGGAAGAAGTGCTAATAAACTATTAGAATTTTAGAATATTACAGGAAAAAAAGTAAATAAAAATTGCTTTACAAAAAAAAAAAAAAAAGCTGCGTAAAATATAACAAAGACAAAAAAATATGAATTGAAATCTTGACTTCACTCGTACAATCTCATCAAGTTTTAAAAATTGAAGAAAAAACTACAGGAAGATGTAAATTTACTTTTCGCTTTTTATTACTCTAATGGAAAAATAATGACTATGAAATGCTATATATATAAATTTTCATCAATTCCTGTAAAAGGAAAATATAATAAGTGGTCACTTTTTTTTAACTTTTCGTTTTTCTTTTTTTATTTAAATCAATTATAGCATTGGACTAAGGAATTTATGGAAGTAAAACAAGAACGAATTCAACATATTTCGATTTCTGGAAAATTTTTATTGATTTTTGGAAATGAATAGAAAAAGTTATCAAAGCGCAGCAAAAAAAGTTGTGCAGTTTATGATAAAATACGAATAAATTATCAGCAAATGATTTAGATTATTCACTGCTAATTAAATTAATTAAAACTGATAAAAAGGAGATTTAAAAATTAGTTTTTAATTTTGACCTATTAATTTCTCATATAATTTTTGCTAAAATTGGAAAAATACTATAAATAATGCTATTACTGTTTTTAAAGACTCATGTAACATTTCCAAAATGGAAATTGAAATTTTCGATTTTTATCGAAAGCTACAATCAAGAAAACTAATATTATACTTTCTTTCTTCTACTATTTTTCGGAAAAAAATTGTGCACCAATTTAATTTGATCAAACATTTATGAAGCAAAATTAAAAATAGTACAAACGCTAAAAAAAATAGGAAAAGTTAAAAAGTAAAGTAACAATGTTAATTAGCAAATTAGTAAATGTAACTTCGAAATTACTGTCCATTTTAATTTTATTCTTTTGCTCTAACAATTATTATCTAACTTATTTTTTCTACTACTGTCATATCATGCTGAAAAAAATATTGAACAAAGAATTTCTAGAATAATTACAAAATTTTATATCATTTGAAATACCGATAAATAGAAATTATAGATAATTTTTAAAATTTTCCGTTTTCAAATTATCAATAATTATCAACTTTTTCTTCCAGCATTTATTATCAATCGACATTTAAATTGATCGAAACATTCATTTAATAGTTTATTTATCTAATGCAAGGTGTAATAAATCTGAAAATGATGATTGCTTCAATTCGATTTCGATTAATTTGATCAGATGGTAAAGCAAAAAAAAATTTTTTTTTTATTAACATGCGCAATATCACATTATATTTACTATTATGCCTTCTCAACTTAAAAATTTTAATCGAAATATATAAATAAGCTTATTATTATGCTTTAAACAAGTATCTATGCTCTTATATTTAGTGTCAATTTTAATTTAATAATTATTTAACATTTTTACTAGCAAAAAGTTTTTCTGTGACTATATTTTATCAGCACCAAATGAACATTATTCGTAAATGATCATTCTCTAATCATTATCAATTATCTATGTTATGATATTTCTTCAAGATTAAATAAAATAAATCTATCAAATATAATCATTACTATTTAAGTATTTTTACAAATTTTTATTTATGTTTATATTTTACTTACATTTGCATTTATATTTTATATTTATAATTATAATTTTATTTATATTTTTCATTGTAATTTATATTTATATTTATGTTTATATTTACATTTATGTTGAATAAAAATCAAAATTCCAATGATAAATGAATAAAAAGCTATCTCAAAAATGATGTTAGCATAGCTGCTTCATGACATTGTCATCTCTTACTCAAAAAAATATCGAAAATCTTCCAATTTTTTTTCCATTTTTTCAAAATTGCCATTTAAACGATATTTATTGATAGCACTTATTGGTTTGCTTTTATTGATATATTTGATATTTGTTAATGTATAAGCAAAATTATCTTTAAAAAAATATATTCGTTCTAATTTTAATTTAGCAAAAAAAAGTGAAATATCATTTTAGTAAGAATAAGTAAGTTGGAAGAACGAGAATTTACAGTTATCACATTAATAAATTATTATTTGTTTAATCTTGTTAGCAATTGCTATTATTACTAGCAATGATTATCAGCAATTATGATTTGAATGACCTATGCTATTCATACTGTTTTAACTAACTTAAATTTCTGTCAGATATATTTAAGCTTCAAATAGATTGTAACAGAAAATTACAACGGTTTCAATTACAGTTTAGATAATAATTGATTGAAACAAAAAAAGTTAATAAATAAATAAATTTGTTTGGTTAATACTGCCAACTACACCATTATATGTTTTTATCAATTATTATTTTTCATCAATAAATATCTATGTAATAACTTTTGTGATTAATAAATTTTTCCATATAGGAATAATTAAATGGTAAAATTTAAGTGATGAGTAGAAGCTAAATTGGATAAAATTAGCATTTCGTCACTAAGGAGAAATTGAATTTTTAACTACCGCAAAAATCGTTTTATGCTTTTTTTTTTTTTTCTTTAGAGTCAAAAAAAATAATAAAATTTCAGGTATTAATATCACATCAAAGAAATATACACTGATATCAATGTCACAAAATCAAACCTGGTATTCAATTATCGGTTACCTCTATGTTAAAACAAACAGTGGAGGTAGGCATGAATCAGTGTAAACTAAATATTATTGTATGACAGTATTTTACTCAACATTTAAGCATAATCTTTGTTTACGTAGCATTCAAAAAAAAAAAAAAAGAGGAAGAAAAGAAGGAAAAATAACGCATAATAACAAATGCTTAACACACATTTTCCGTTTATTTGTACTAAAAAGTATTAATTTGGACGAAAAATTTAAAATTTTTCAATTTATAATTCAACATGAATTTAACTTAAGAAAATTTTGTTTATTAATTTTTGGCAAAAAATTTTTCATCAACAACTTTTACTTTTCTCCTTTTTTTCTAAAAAAAATGTAGCAATCATTTCATTTCATTTCAATTTTTTTCAAACTAATTTTAATAATAAAAGAATCATAACATTTAAAATGTTTAATGTTTGCTTTTTTCTTTTCTATCTTTTTTTTTTTTTTTTTTTTTTTTGATATCTGAACAAATTTAAAAATGCAGAACAAAACAACGCAAAAAAAATTCGGTCTTTTTAAAATGTTAGTTTAAATAAAACTAGGAAAAGCAAGGAAAAAAATCCTTAAACTTTTTTTTCCTATTTGAAAAAATAAAATGAATTATTGTTGCTAATTTTAGCATTTTCATTATTAAAATCACGAAAACGAATGTTTTTTGCACTGGAAGAATGTAAAAATTTGCTAATATCATACAAGGATGAAATGGATTTTGTGAAGAAGAAAAAACCATTGGAGCAAATTGCATTAGATCATGCCGCATGCACATTAGGTGAAAATTCCGAAACTGAATTCATCATTCAGTATGTTTAATTTCTTATTTTAATTTTTTGGTTTAAAATTTCTTTCTTTCTCTTTTTTTCTCTTTTTTTTGTTGAAACTAACAACTTTTTTTCTTGGTATATGAGGAATAAATAGTTGACCTTTTTTTCCTTCTTTTAAAAAAAAAAAATGATTCGTTGCAGATTGAAGAGGAAAAAGTTTTTTTTTTTTAATTATTTGATTTTATTAAATTGAGTTGCTTCTCTTTCTGAATGAAAAAAAAACGAAAGATTTTTTTTATCATTTTTCTAAAAAATTTAAGTTTTTTCAAAATTAAATTAATTGTATTTTTTTTTTCTGAGTATTACATTTGTATCGGTTGAAGAAAAAAAATCCTATTTTGATGATACTAAGAAATTTTAATTCAAAAAAAAAAAAAAATTTAGTTGATTGGCTAATAATAATATTTGTTTTTGTTTTTTTTTTTTAAAGCGATATAAAAAAAAGTTGCACTATGTATTTGGTAAAATGTATGAGCTTTTTTAAGGAAACAAATTCATATTTTTTAAAATTATGATTTCCTAACAATAATTTAAAATTATAAAATTTTCACATTTCTTTGTGAGAAATTTTCGAATATGAAATGAAAATTAAGAGTGGATAAAACGGAAATTTATTTCCTCGATACATCAAAATGAAATATGATATAAGTAATGTTGAAAAATATTTTGAAAATTCTTGTTATTTTAGAGAAAGTTAATAAATTTAATCACAATATTCGAATCATTTTAAGAAAGGTAAATAATTTTTAATTTTAATTGAACTATTATTAGCAAGACATACTTTAATTTTCAGTGAACGTTAAAAATTGACCCAAATCAAATATAATAAAATGGAAATAATAGAACAGAAATCAAAGTTTTGTTTTTATTATTACTTTAATATTTACTTAACTGAAAAATATTTTACACATTTTTTTGCGCACGTCATTTACGTCTAGAATAGACAGCCATCTTTTTTTAAGTTATTAGCAATTATGATTAGATAATTGCATATTACTACTTTTAATATTAGAAATGATAGGAATAATAAGCAAAACATATATATGTAATAAATATGCAAATATTAAGAGCAATTAAAACATAAGCAATAGCATAATGTAAAACCTTTTCGCAATTGAGGAATAAAACTTTGCAATTAGTGATTTTTAATGATATGATTGTTATTTTGTTTTGTTTGTTACACAAAAGATTAATGAGTGAAATAACAATTTAACAATAATCCAACCATGTTGTTAGCATTCATTAAAAACAATAATATTTTTCCCGAAATGTTAATTGAAATAAGCATAGAATTAGCTAGACTAAAGAAATATTAGTTAAAATGATAAAGTAAATATTGTTTTTCTCTTCTCCAAAAAAAAAAAAATAAATAAAAAATTATATTTAAAAAAAAATTTTTAAAAATGGTTGAAAAGGTTTAAAAATAACGCAAAAAAAGGTGGTAAAGTAGCTTTTTTTTTTCTTCCAACTTAATATGAAATAAAAATGAATCAATTTTATATTATTAGTTGGTGTTAATTATTAATTTATTATACATATTTATGAGTAAATGCAAATGATTTTAGCAAATCAATTCCAAAATTTTTGCACCCTATTTTAACACATTATTTTATAGTTTAAAAAAGTGTGAGAAAGTTTCTTGCTACGTAGAAATTGGAAAACAATGCTTGTTTGCTTAAATAACGTTAATTTACTAATGTCTTATAATAAATTGAAACAACTTTTTTGTGTTTATGCTAGAGCTAAAACAAATTATTTTACTTTTTAACAATATTACGAAAATTTTAAATTGCATTTTATATCGTTGGAAGTTTATTTGTCTGAATTTGAAGTTTAAAAAGAATTTAATTTAATTTCTACAATAAACTCGCACTTTTGCTGCTATATTATTGAATCACTTTACAGCACATTAGTTTAAAAGATGGAAAAAAAAATCATTTCTTGTTTTTTAACTTAAAATATTTTGCACACCTTACTCTAATTCGGAAATTATTCCTTATTTTTTGATCATAAAGCTTATTTCTTGCTTTGCAATTTAATTTCATCTAAAAAAAGAAATGTTTTTTACAAATTAGTCTTGAAAAAAGAACAGAAAAAGAATTAAAGAATGTTGCACAAGATTTTTTTTTCAAATTAGATTAAAATTAAGTTAAATCTTTTTTTAAACTAAACTAGAACGTGAAAAAAATTTCAACAAATGGACAAACAAATCTAATAATTGTAAACGCATCAATATTATATTTAATTAAATGATTCAAGTAATCACATTCCATTTGTTAAATAAAAAACAAAAAGAAATAGTGATAGCAATTGTTTCAAAAAAAAAGTGCAAAATTCAATTTCCTCTTTGATTTCCTCATTGTATCTTTTCTCACTTTACCTCTTTTATCATCTTAATCTCACCAATTTACCAATGTTCATTTTATTTTATTATTTTTTTTATGCAGCATCGATAGACGCAAAATAGAATTTGATGCGGAAAATGAACGAAGCGCAAAAAAATGGTTTAATGCGTTGCAGCATCGACGTGAAAATATTGAAATGATCACAAGCGTACGACGAAAAAAAGCGCAACCATTTGAAGGGATACACTTTGAAACTACATCAGTAAATTTACACTATCTTTTTAATTTCTTTAACAAAAAAATTTAGTTGTTTTTAAACTTTATTTTTTGCTTCAAAAAAGCTTAAATGAACTTCAATTTATCGATCCTTTTTTCTTTGCTTATTTTTGTATAATTGAAATTTTCTTATAAAATATTTTTTTTTCCTTAAAAAATAATATAACTAATACTGTTATTTGTTAATAATGTATAAATAATATTGATAAGAATGACAAATTTAAATATTTTATTTGTAAATTATATTCAAATTTTTAAAGAAGTATTTACAAAATTTTAACAAAAATTTTTTCTGTTATATACATATTATTATAAACAATAGCAGAAAGTAATGCTAAATGATAATTAAAGTATTAGCATAAAAATGATAGTGGATGATGATGAAATAATTGAAGCAAACATCAGTATTAATATTCGAATTTTTCTTTCTTACTCAAAGAAGTTATTGTTTAATAAATTCTTCAAACATTATTTAAAAAATTGAAAAAAAATTTTTTTCCACGACTGTTAGACCATAATAATATTCTGGCAGAACAAAAAAAAAAAAAGAAATTAACAATTGCGATAAAAAAAGCTTTGAATTGAATTGCCAACAATATTCCAGTATTAGTCATTTACTATGCTAGTGGTATTAATTATTTAGCATGTTAATATTTTGCTTGCTAACAATAATTCGGTTAATCACTTAATATGCTAGCAATATTCTGGTTAATAATTTCGCAGAGTATAAATTTTTGAGAAAAAAAGATAGGGAAAAAACTGATAGAAAAGAAGAAAGCATTTTTAAAAAAAGCAAACAGAAATTGAAAAATATTAAATGTGAAAAGATTATCTAAGCTTATTTGCTGACGATTCAAGTGTTTTTTTCTTTTTTTAAAACAATTTTGTTTTTTAATTTTAGAGCGAAAGTGATTGCGATGAAAATAATTGCGCCAAAGAAAATGGAACAAAACAAGTAACTGAATTAGCTACAATGAAAACTAAAATGATGTCAGGCAGAAGCCTGAAATTAATTAGTTACGTTGCTGCTCATATTGTCAAATTATAACATTTGTATCACATAAAATTTGCTAGCATAAAAAAAAGAAATTATTTGAAAAGTTGCTGGAAAAAATAAAGTTAAAATTTGAGAAATTACAGATTTGAGAGATGAATGCATCAGTAGCACCCGCTCAGCACCATCAATACTACCATCTTTTGGAGTAAATAAGTCAAGTTTGTTTTGCTTAAAAATTTGAAAACAAACTTTATTAAATAATAATTATTGACATGAACAAATTGAATTATTAAAATTTTAAGCAAATATAGACTGAAGAATTAAAATGCACTGAAACAATTTTTTTTTTTTTGCTTTTTTTTAGGTATAGATAATAATAGATGTATGGTATGCATATGACATTAAAATTATGATAAGATTTAAAATATTCGTTACTAATTTATGAATAAATATTAATTACTTAAGAAATAATTAGCAAAAAAAAGAGTATTTTTTCTTTTTATTTATTAAGTTCCCAAAGGTGAATGTAATTTTAAGTTCTTATAACATTTTGTAGACAAAATATTATAGGTATTCTTCAAAAATATTCCACACATTCATCATTAACTTACAATGATAAGCAATGTCGTAAACAAGTGTGCAATCAAAATTCTATGGTATTATTAAAATTTTAGCATACTAATTGATAATTATTAAATTCATTAATTAATTGAATGAGAATGAAATCATTTAATTGTTGGAAACATCTTAATTTCTAGAATTTCATATCAAAAATAGACGAATAGTATAAATTAACTAAATAAGTTAATTTTTAGCATTTGCAAATTTCAGAAAATAATTTGTGAAGAAAAAACTTTATAATAAAATTGTGCATTTAACATTGTACCTATCACTATATTTACCATTATATCACTATCATTATAGTTATTATATTTACCGTCATATCATTATATCACTAATCATTATGCTTATCATCATATCACTATACTTGTCATATTTATCATTATCTCATTTTATTTATCATTGTATTACTAATATTTATCATTACATCACTGTGTTCATTATTATAGTTATTATTATATCACTTACTTACCATTATATCACTACACTTATCATCACATTAATCACTAATAATCGCAGCCACCATTATATTATTATACTTGTCACTGTATTTATCGTTATATTACAGCAATGTAATTTTCAAATAAGAGATTTTAAAGCATTGATTAATGTAAATATGTGGTATACTTTTAAGCTTTTGTTGCGCAATGCATGCTAATTATATGTGAATGAAATGAAAATAGAAAACTAATTTTGACAAATAAACAAAACAAAAAAAAGGAATTTTGTCTTTTCTAACAAATTTTTCTTATTAAACAAATAATTTGCCGGAAAAATTGCTTGGCTATGATGGAAGAGGTGACAAATGGATCATTGAATGGATTAATGGACAACCATTTGACAAGTGTAACTGTGAAATTGAAAATATTTCTGTTAATAGCAGGTGCTTTTAAGAAGAAAAAAGGATTTTTTTTTCTTTGTTAGTAATAAATTTGAAATGAACAAGAAAGAGTTTTAAATAAACTGAAAATTGAAATGAAACGCAGTGCAATTTGAAAAAGTTTTAATAATTTAAAAAAAAAATACTTTTATGAAAAAATTGCAAAATAAAATAAGAAAATACGCAAATTTTAAATTTCCAACTTTTTTTTTAATTTTATATTTTAAATAAATGAAATATTTTTTTAATGCAGCAGTACAAATGGCGAAAGTATGCGAGTCTCTGAAATTACAACACACGATGATGATAATGAAATATTATCATCATATGATAATGAATAGTAAGGATTTGTTAATAATTGTTTTTAATTTAATAATCATAATAAAATTTATTTTCCAATAATAATAATGATTTGAATTTAATAATAATCCTAAAAATAAATTTAAAAAAGAAAGAGAATGTTAGAAAATTCAAAACAAAATAAGATCAATAATTTCTACCATTTTTTGCACATGTTTTTATTTGATAACTTATTAATTTAATTGATGAATTAGTCAGTTCATTGATTTGCTAAACAAATAAACAGCTAGACTTTTCTTTTTTTTTTTGAAAAAAAATAGAACTATTAATTATGGTAATTTTTGTATTTCAGTACAAGCAAGACCATTTTCCAAAAATTATCAATTTTTGTACTTATTTCATATTCACTTATTAGTTATTAAGTTTAACTTAACTTATTATTTACATTCCTATCTTTGCGCTGTTTGTATTTCAATACAAGTTATTACACATTCACTTATGATTTATTTAATTTAACACATTTATTTACTATTTATTTAGTTTTGCACATTCACTAATTGTTCATATTTCTACTCAATTATTATTTATACTTTAGCACCAGTTTATTACATATTTACATTTTATTTATCTAATTTTATTCGCATTATTATTTGTATTTTAATAATTACTAAAATAATTTCAGCTATCAACAAAATGAATTAAATTGGCTGCGAGCAATCACAAATAGGCAGAAAGCAAAAATTGAAGAACTTAACGAAGGAAGGAAAATGCTATCCATTGAACTTGCACAACTCAAAGATATCATGTTAGTTGACATTTACTCAGCTAATAATTCTTATACAATGGTTCTGTCCACTACTTATTAAAAGTTTCATTATCTTTAATTACATTTTTCCTCACTTTTTTCTTCCTTTTTTTGCACTCTTCCATTTCTTCGAAACTTTTTACTTATTTCATTTCAAATTTCAGGAAAGCAAAAAAAAAAAAAGCACAATTGAAAAAGTTGATAGCATTTCGATATTTTATCTATTAAAATATGTAAAAAATAAAAAAAAAACTGCCATTTTTTTATTTTAAATAAAACTTTAAAACAGGAAAAAAGTAATTGAATTTAATTATTTAAAAATCAAAATTTTTCTTTTCAATAATGTAATGTTTTTCTTCAAATTTCAATTTTCGTCTTTTCTATCAACTTTTTCTATTGTATTTATTCTTATACTTTTTTAAATAATAATAAACAAACACAAGAGAAAAAAAGTAGAAAAATTTGGAAACGAAAAAATTTATTTCGCTTTACTTTGCTTTACATTTTATTTTCTTTTTTTTTTGTTAAACAGACAAACAAATAAACAAAACCAAAAAAAAGACTGCAAAAAAGATTGTTTTTGTTAAAATATTAAATAAATTTTTTTTTTTCGAAATGTTACAACAACAAATTTAACCACCGAACAAACATTTTCGTTGGCAAATCGAAATAAATTTTTGAACAGTGAAGTGATCCGATTGTTGAAACGTTGTGCTGCACAACAGAAGCAAACATTTAAATTTAAGCAGTATGTATTCGCAATTGCATATTTCATCTTGATATTAATCATAATTTTAATTTCTGAAATAACTGATGATTTCATTATAAAATTATCAATAATTTGTTTTGAGAATTTTATTTTGGTAACAAGCATTTAGCATAAATTATAGCTTTTTATTCATTTAGTTTATTTATTTTTGTCTTTTTTGTTTCTACCGTATTTTATGCACTGTTAGTTTTCTTTTTTTTTTTTTTTGTTTTCTTTTTTTATCAAAATGATTATATTTGACTAAAATATCTTTAAACTGAACGTTCTATTAATTTGATATTTCTTTTTTCTCTATGAATTGATATATTTACCAAAAAACTTCAATTAAATTTTATTCTCAGCAGTAACTGCATGTTTTTATTTTGAAATTAATGACAATTGAAAATTTTATTTTAAAAAACTGTTATATGGATTTACACTGTACCTTAATTACTGATAAGATTATTCCGTTGAAGTAATTTTAATAAAAGCTTGTTTATTTCATTGTAACATTGAATTTAGTATTGTACAAAATTTAATTTTATGACTATCCCATTAAGATTATTAGAATGTAGTCGAAAAAGTTGATCAAAAATTTGACGAATTAATTTCAATTTCAATTTAATTATTATGTTTTTGTCAGATTAAATGAAATGCTAATGGAAGATTTGAATAATTTTAAACGAGAGTATGTATTTTTGCTACAAAGTTGTATTAAAATTTCGCTTGATGAGCAGCAATCTATTGATGCGCTTCAAGTCAAATTGCTTGGTAGTCATATTGTAAGTTTTAATTCATTTTTATCAAATTGTTTACAACGGATTTTTAATACAAGATTAACATATCGATAGAATTGCTTACCATATTTATTTTGTATCTTAAAAAGCTCTTTGAATGGAAAATAACTTCTTTTTTGTTAATATATTTTATTTTATTTTTTTTAATTTTATAATTTTCGTTTTTTTGTTCAAAGAATAACGCAGAAAGTAAATATGAAAAAAAAGTTCTTCGTAATAAAAATTTTTTAATTCAAATATTTTTGCAGCAAATACCAAATAAATTAAAACTGTTTACTTTTTATTGATTAACTTTTTTTTAATTTTAATATTATAATGATAATTTAATTTTTCTTTTCCTTCGTTTTTTTTCTAACTAGCATAAAAAACGTGTGATAAATTTATTGAATGAAGCACGAGCAGTTGATCCAACATTACCAACTTTTGAAAGGTATTTGTAATTCTTTTTAGTTCATTTATTTTACTCATTTTCATTTGTTACATTTTCTACGGAGTAAAATTTTTTAATTCATTATTCAATTTTATTTTTCAGTATTATTTTTATTTATAAATGTTCTTTTAAATTTGTTCAGCAAAATTTATTCAATGAATTTTTTTTTTTTTTAATTTCATTGAGTATTATAAAAACCACAAGAGAAATAAAAATGAAATGAGAAAAAAGGAAGCAAAAAATTAAATTTAATGTTATTAGTAATTTCTTTTCTTTTGTTGCTAGTTATATATATATGTCTTTATCATATATTTTTTCTTTTTTTTTATTTATTTATTTTAATTTTCTTTTTTAAAGTTTAACATTATTTGGCAATTATTTGGATATTTTTGGATTTCAACGATCATTCGCTGATGAAGAATTAGCATTGCATTATATTTGTACACAGTTATATGCGCTTTATTTGGAATGCACATCTGCGCACTTACAACATCGTATTGCATGGAAACGATATTTGTACAATTGTAATTACCAACTTTGCAATAAGGTAAAATTAACTAATTGATAACAAGAAGTTATAATAGATTACGAAATAAGTAATGGTAGTAATATCAAAGAAATATTTTATGATAATTGCATTAAAAAAAGTTGATGATATAGGATAGTATCAAAAAAAAGTTCAGGATAATTATTTGACAGTGCGATGATTGTTTATTGATAAAGTTGAGTTTTTTAGAATTTTTTAAACAGTTAATTAATAATTAATTATGTTAATCAGCAATTTTGAAATTTTTATAACTTTGGTAAAGTCAAAAAAGAATGCACGGAATAATGATTTGATAATAATGTAAGGAAGTGTATGTTAGTACGATAATTATTTGATGATAGCGTTGCAGAAATTGATAAATTTATCAATTATTTAGTGATTATGTTGAATAATTTTGATGAAAAAAAAATATTTAACAATCATGTTGGATAATTTCGGGGAAAAATTATTTAAACTTTATGATAATATCAAAAATGCATGAAATAATCTGACAATAATATGTAAATGTATAGTAATATATAATGATTACTTAATAACAGCATCAAAAAGTTGATAAGTACAATTTATTTAGCAGTTGCATTTTGATAAAAATAAATAGTCATTAAATATTTTATGTAGAGTAATCAGTTTTAAAAAAAATCATAGTAATAACAAACAAAAAAATATGTAAATTTTGTATTGAAAGAAAAGAAATTATTGATAGAAAATTAATTAATACAAAAAAAAAGACAAATGATATGAATTTATTATAAATATTAGAATGTTGAAATTTAAAATTAAAACCTTAATTTCAAAAATTTTCCAATTTAAAATAATCATACAGAGTGAAATACGTATGCTTATTCGAACTGGTGTACCAGGTGATTTAAGACCAACCATTTGGAAATTACTCATTCATCAACAAATTGCTGATATTAAAAAAAAATTTGGGAAATATTACTTTCGTGATTTATGTAATACACGTGGATCACTTGATGAAACAGAGGTATTGCACCTTTTTTGCTTTTTTTTGAATTTTATTTATTTTTTGAAAATCACTTTTTTCTGATTTTTTATACATTGAATATTAATGATAGTTTAGTTTTAAATTAAAATAAATGAATTTTCAAATAAATATTTAATAAATTAAAGTAAATATATAATGTCAAATTTATTCTTTGATCAAAAATTGTGCACATTTTTTGTTCGTTTTCATCTGTCACTTTTTCTTACCTTATCTTTGTTCACTTGAAATTTTTTTTTTAGTACAGAGATAACCATCAAAAACAAATAACGCTTGATTTATTGCGCACATTACCTGATAATATACATTTCATGTCACCAACATGTAAAGGGGTTAGCTTTTCTTTCATTCAAAAAAAAAGCTAACTCAAAGCTTTTTTATTTAATGAACAAAAGAAAAAACTTAATTTTTTTTATTAAATACTTTTTAAAGATTTGTGCCAATTTTATCAGTGCGATAAATAAATGAAATGGTAGAATTTATTTTATTACATTTTCTTATACTACATTAAAGTACAAATATAATATCTGATTAAAAATTAATAGTATTACCGCCTATTTCCTTTTTCTTTAATAAAAATTTGACATTAATTTATTTTAGATACTTTGTAAAATAATAAAATTTAAAACCAAAAAAAAAATTTTTTTGCTATGATTTTATTAAAAATTAATAATTTTGACATTCAAAAATTTGAAGTTTTGAAACAAAATTTTTTTTAGCTGCGGCTTTAATAAACAATCGTTAAGTTTGGCAAAAAAAAATTAAAATTTTAAACCAAAGCTTTTTATGAATTTATTGAGCATTTATTAATTTTACAAATTTGAACTTTTGGGGAACTAAAATTTTGAATCAAATCTTACTTTTTGCTGCAATTTTATTAAATAATTATTAATTTTGATGAATTTTTAACTTTTCAGATTCAACAATTAGAGCAAGTATTGCGTGCATTCTGTTTACATAATCCAATAATTGGTTATTGTCAGGGAATGAACTTTATTGCCGGAACAGCAATGCTTTTTCTTGGTGTCGAAGATACATTCTGGTTTTTAGTTGCTGTTACGGAAAAATATTTTGATAAATCATATTTTGATTATGCATTAACCGGTGCACAAGCTGATCAAGTAATCAGCATGTTTATGATAATTGATGTGATAATATTGGAATAGCTTTGAAAATGAAATTAAAGTTGTTCATTTGTGGTATAAAAAAATTTACTAATTCAAATTAAATGAATTTGAAAGCAATTAAAAATTTAATTTCTTTTTTTAGATAATAAAATTTGTACAGAAACATAAAAATAGCATATTTCTTCGTTTATAAAATAAAAGCAGATATTTTTATTTACCTCTCTTTTTCATTAATTTTTTTTTTCCTTTTTGTTTGCTATGAAATTTGTTTGGAAGAAATTTTTTCCACTTGCAAAATGTTACAAAATAAATTAATGCATTTTTAATTAATTTAATTACAAAGGAAAAAATTTTTTTTAGTTTTTTTTTAATTTTTTAAAAATTTAAATAATTTAATATTGCATAGGAGGTACTAAAGGAATTGGTTGCAAGAAGATTACCGCGATTAGCTGCACATTTGGAACAATATGGCATCGATTTAGCTACGGTAACACTAAATTGGTTTTTGGCGCTATTTTATGACGCTGTACCTTTTCAGGTATTTTATTGCTTCTAAATAAATAAATTTTTTTAAAATAAAATTTATATATAATAAGGATAAGGATGGTACTTCTTTTTCGTTTATAAAATGAATATAAAAATTTTCATTTCTTTTCTTTTTGTTCTCCTTTTTTCCTTTTCTTTTTTTTTGTTTGCTATAAAATTTGTTTGAAAAAGAATTTTTTTTCAGAATATCATGAAATTAATTAATACATTTTTTAAATTAATTCAATTGCAAAAAAGATTTTTTTTAAATATATGATATGAAAATTTGTGACATTTTGAAATGAAGATAAAAATTTAACGCAATGATTTGGTATGCTTTTCAATAAAAGTTATAAATTAATTCATATGCTAATTTATGATCCTATTCAACAATCTATCTACTTCATTTCAATTCTATCCTGGAATTTGTTACAGTCAACAAAATATGTGAAACATTTCGCATATCTATATGAAAAGAGAGAAAGGAGAGAGAGAGAGAGGAGTGAAGAGATAGGGCAATTTTTCGATTTATCAAATTGTTCATTTGCATATCAAAATTAATCAACCAAAATATTTCCTACATCTTTCATCTAAACATTTCATTCAATCATTGTTGCCTTCTATGACAGTGAAATGATGTCTGATGTCAAATGTTTTCACTCATCAAATTAATATTGGAATGATAAATTTTATTCCTAAAAAAATATATAAATATATCAATAAATTTTTGGTTTAACAATTTCTGCTATTTTTTTTTTAATTTTTATCATTTCCAAATTGTGTAACTAATTTTTTGAACTTATTTTTAATAACTTTTTTTTCGTATTCTTATGTAATCTAATTTTGATCATCTTTTTTTTTTTTTTCTTCAAATGGTATAGTTATTTTCTTAACATTTTTTAACTTCCAATTTAAGTAAATAAATAGAAGAAAAAAGAAAAGGAGAAAGTACACTGGTATTAGTTTTATTTGCTATTTTTAATAAATTAATAAAAAAAAAATTTCCCCAAATGGAAGAATATTTATAAAATAGCCATAAGCCCGTAAATGCACTATGTTGCTAATTATGTGCGTTTGGAAATTAGCAGCACGGCGCATTTGCGCGCAATCTGGCAATGCCTATTAATACTATTCCACTGTTTATTATACCACCTGCAACATTCACTGCAAATACAAATAAAAGTTTACAAATTTTTTATGGAGTTTTTTTTGCCTTTTTTTTAATGAAAAGAAATGATAATAATAGTATAATAATTTTCATCGGCTACTTAGTAATAGTAATGAACAATAATAACAATAAACAATGATATTTTTTGTTTGTTTCTTTTTATAGACAATGATCCGAATTTGGGATTGTTTCCTTTTGGATGGTACAAAAGTGCTTTTTCGATTTGCTCTTGCAATTTTATCCATTCATGAAAAGGAAGTACTTCAACGAAATGATACCATATCAGTTATCAAAATTCTAAAAGCATCCGTTCGTTTAACATACGATTACGAAGGATTATTTAATGTTAGTAATATGCTATAAAAAAAATAATATAATTAATAAAAAAAAAGAAAATGAGCTTAAAAAATGAATGCTATTTGATGAAAATAAATATTATACAATGATATGTGATAAGATGTCAAATATTTAATTTTTTTCACTAATGTAAAATGCGTTAAAATGATATCTGAAATATGTGAAATGTATTTAGTATTTTTTATTTAAATTGAAACAAACATTTCAATTTGTTTGTTCGTTTTCATCTTATTTTTTAGAAAGAAAATGAAAAAGCTTTTAAACATTGTGCAAAAAAAAAGAGATTAATTTAAAGAAGAGAGAAAAAAAATGAAAAGTATAAATCATGTAAGTGGTAATAATTTATCGCCCAAGTAGTGAATATGTAAGAGGGAAAAAAGAAAGGAATAAAAGATTCAATATTAAAATATTTTTTAAAATATACTGAAGACAAAAAATAATAAAAAAATTTTAGTTAGCATTCGACACGATGCAACCATTTCCATCACGTTCTGAAATTGAGCATAAACAAAAGTGGTATTTAAATTTACTACGTGAGCGATTAAATCGTAAAGAACAATTAAGAAAAGTATTTACATCTTTATCATTGGTAAATTTTTTTTTTTTTGAATAATTCTACCGAGAAGAAAATTGAATTAAAAAATATAAATGTACATCAGATAAAAGAATTTTATGCTTTAACACTGTTTTATACTAAAATCATAAGTTATAGTTATGTCAAATATTAGCAACAATGCATGCAAATGATTCATTATAAAATAAAAAATTCGACAGAAAAAGTGAAAAAGGTTTTAAAAAGTGAAAAGGTAAATTTTATGAAGGGAAATCTTAAAATTCT